TGGCCCCCAGTCCCCCCCCAAGTGCCCCTTGGCCCCGGGGCCGCGGGGCCGGTTCCACTCCCCGTGTCCCCGGAGGTCACTCTGTGCCCCCACCGAGGGGTCACCGCGGGCAGCGGGGCCGGGGGGGCCCAGCCCGGGGGTCCCCGTGTCGGAGAGGGTGTCCCCAGCTCGGGGCCGGGCCGGGGGTCCCCCAGTGCCCCCTCCCCCGGGAGCTGCAGCCCCCCAGCCGGGCGCGGGGTCAAACATTAACCGGGGCGGGTTAACTGGTCACCGATTGTCCCCGCCGGGCCGGGCGGGGCCCCCCCGCGCCGCCCCCCAGCACAAAACCGGGGGTCCCGCGGCCACCCAGCAGCTTGTGAGCCCCCCCGAGCCACCATGAGGAGCCTCCAGGAGGTGAGTGCGGGCAGGGGGGGCCGGGGCCACTTACCTGGGGGGCAGGCACGGCTGTGTCACCCCACATTTGGGGTCAGCCCCAGCACCCCAAACCTGGGGGGCAGACACTGTGTCACCCCACATTTAGAGGGGGGACAGACCTACCTGTGTCACTCCAAATCTGGGGGGCAGACACAGTGTGTCACCCCCCATTTGGGGGTGGGACAGACCTACCTGTGTCACCCCAAATCTGGGGGGCAGAGGAGACCCCTCGGCGACATCCTCCCTGCAGTGGTGGTGTCACCCCATGAGGGACCTGCCCCATGGGAAAACCACCCCTAGGGGGTCCCAGTGCCATAGGGGACCACACCCAGGGGACACCACCCTGAGGGGGTCCCAGCCCAGGGGGACCCCAAGCAGGAGGGGGGTCCCACAACCACGGGGAGCTGCTCTCTCCCCACCAGGCAATGGTGGGGGGTCAGTGCCAGCCCTGGGGGGCTGCAGGGTCTGAGGGGGTCCAGCAGCACCCCTGGGGCTGTGCAGGGACCACCACAGGGTCCAGAGCTGCTGCCCTCACCCAGTGGCACCCTGGGCTGGAACCCACCTCGGGATCAGGGGCAGCACCCCTGGGTCCCCTCTGTGTCTTGGGGGAACAGTGTGTGACAGTGTGGGACACCGTGAGAGTGTGTGACAGTGTGTGACAGTGTGTGACAATGGGTGACAATGTGTGTGATAGCATGTGACAATGTGTGATTTTGTGTGACAATGTGACAGTGAGTGTGTGATAGTGTGTGACAATGTGTGACAATGTGTGTGATAACGTGTGACAATGTGTGACAATGTGAGTGTGTGACAGTGTGTGACAATGCGTGATTTTGTGGGATACTGTGACTCTGATGGTCTGTGGTAGTGTGTGACAGTGTGTGACACTGTGACAGTGTGTGACAGTGTGTGACACTGTGTGACACCGTGTGACCCTGTGACCCCGCACAGCACCAGGTGACCCCGTGTGTCCAGGTCTTCCCTCGGCGCCACTGTCCCCTTGTCCCTGACCGCCGGTCCCTGACCCCTTGTCCTGTCCCATGGTGCTGAGGCCAGAGGGCAGGATGGGACCCCTGAGTCCCCTCTGCCTGTCCCTGTCCCCTGTCCCTGGCTGGGGGAGAGGACAGGACCCCTGAGCCCCCCCGTCACCCCTCAGGGCCCCGACCCCTCTGAAGAGCCCAAACCCAGCAAGGACAAGTCCGAGTTCAGGAACTACACCGTGAGTCTGGGGGGTCCCAGGGGATCCCACGTGGGGAGGGGGGCTCGGGGGGGCCCCAAAACCGGGTGGGGTGTCAGGGGGGGCCTGCTTAAGGGTCCTGGGGGTCCTGTGGGTGCCAGGGGTCCCACGGTGAGTCCCTGCCTGTCCCCAGTGGCCACACTGGGGGTCCCACCCTGAGCTGGGAGCAGCTGGGGGAGCCCTGGGGGTCTCTGCCATGCCAGGCTGGGGTGGGGGGACACCGGGGGGCTCCCCCTGCTCCCCGGACCCCCCTGACCCCCCCGTGCCTCCCCCGCTGCCCCACAGGAGGGGAAGCTGATTGACCGCGTGTACCACACGTACCTGCTCATGCACACACACCAGACAGTGGACTTCGTCCGCAGGAAGGTGGGAGCCCCCCGCTCACCCTGTGTCCCCCTGTGTGCCCCGCTCACCCTGTGTCCCCCTCAGTCACCCTGTGTCCCCCGCTCACCCTGTGTCCCCCTGTGTCCCCCGCTCACCCTGTGTCCCCCTGTGTCCCCCCCTCACCCTGTGTCCCCCTCAGTCACCCTGTGTCCCCCCGCTCACCCTGTGTCCCCCTGGGTCACCCTGTGTCCCCCCTCAGTCACCCTGTGTCCCCCCAGGGCTGTCCTGTCCCCCCTGGGGTTCCCACAGCAGGGGGGTGTCACAGCCCTCCCACCCTGCACTCCAAATCCAGCCCCGGTGCCCCATCCCAGCCCGCTCGGGGGGACACTGAGGGGCACCCATGCGCCCCCCCGGGGGTCCGGGGGGTGCCTCGGTGTCCCCAAAGCCGGGTGTCCCCAGAGAGCCCAGTACGGGCCGTGCTCCCTGCGGAGGATGAGCGTGATGGAGGCGCTGGAGCTGCTGGACCAGCTGGTGGACGAGTCGGACCCCGACGTGGATTTCCCCAACTCCTTCCACGCCTTCCAGACGGCCGAGGGGATCCGCCGGGCACACCCCGACAAAGGTACGGCCACACCCCCCCTCTGTCCCCTGCCACCCCCGCAGGGTCCCGTCCCGGGGGGTGACGGACCCGCTCACCTCCAGATTGGTTCCACCTCGTGGGGCTCCTGCACGACCTGGGGAAGGTGCTGGTGCTCTTCGGGGAGCCCCAGGTGAGTGGGATGGTGGGGAGGGGGCAGGGGGGAGCCCCCCGTGTCGGGGGAATCCTCCGGGGGCCGTTGTGACGCCCGTGCCCCCCCGCAGTGGGCGGTGGTGGGGGACACCTTCCCCGTGGGCTGCAAGGTGCAGAGCTCGGTGGTCTATGGGGACTCCACCTTCCACGACAACCCCGACACCAAGGACCCCCGCTACAGGTGAGCCCGGGGGGGGGCTAGGGGTGGGGGGCTGCACCCCAGGGCCCGGCCGGGGTCCAGAGGGGGGGTCCAGCCCCTCACCCCCCACCCCGCTCCATCCCCAGCACCGAGTGTGGGATGTACCAACCTGGCTGTGGGCTGGAGAATGTCCTCATGTCCTGGGGCCACGATGGTGAGTCGGGGGGGCCGGGGGTGTCCCCTCCTCAGGGAAGGGGCCCCCACCCCCAAACGGGGCACTGACCCCCCAGAGGGGCCGTGCTGCCCCCCACACTGCCCCCTTTGCCGGGGGGTTGGAGTCCCTGGCGTGGGGCGGGGGCTGCAGCTCCTCGGGGGGAGCTGTGGCTTTCAGGGGGGGCTGTGGCTTTCAAGGGGGGCTGCCCCTCTCGGGGTGCCCCCCCGGTGTGGGTCCAGCCCCTCCCCACACGCCGCCCCCTCCCCAGAGTACATGTACCAAGTGATGAAGTTCAACAAGTTCGCCCTGCCCAAGGAGGTGAGCTCAGACCGGGGGGCACGTGGGGGGGACAGGGACCCCCCCTGTGGGGGTTCGGGGGTGCGGGGCAGGGCCCCCCAAACCCAGCTGGACGTCCCTGTGTCCCCCCAGGCCTTCTACATGATTCGCTTCCACTCCTTCTACCCCTGGCACGCGCACGGGGACTACGGGCACCTCTGCTCCGAGGAGGACCGGCGGATGCTGCCCTGGGTCCGGGAGCTCAAGTGCGTGCCCGGGGGGGCACTGGGGGCTCAGCTGAGCCCCCCGGAGCTGTGGGAGGTGGGGGGGATGGTGCACCCCCGGCCTGACCCCCCCTTGTGCTCCCACAGCAAGTTCGACCTGTACACCAAGCAGGAGGACCTGCCCGACGTGCAGCAGCTCCGCGGGTACTACCAGTCGCTCATCGACAAGTACTGCCCGGGGCAGCTCTGCTGGTGACCCCCAAACCTGCCAGGACCACCCTGCACCCCGCTGGGACCCCACCGGGCCCCTCACCCGCAGCAGCACCCAGCACCTCCCCCAGACCCCGCCGTGGGGGCTCCACAATAAACCTGCTTGTGCCGCACCCCCCGGGCCAGTCACCTCTCCCCTCTCACAGGGGGTCACCCCAGGCACGGGGGGGGCAGGACAGGAGCCCCCCAGATCCCAGGAGAGCCGTGGGGCTGGAATGTCAAAGGCTTTATTTAGAAAATTATAGGAAACCTCTGGACCTCTGAGTTTGGGGCTGAGCTGGGGGGGGGAAGCGCGGGATGGGTAGAGCCCACCGGGGTGGGGGGCACGGGGGGCAGCCACCCCAAAACTGCCCGGGGGGCACCTGAGGGGTTGGGCAGGGTGAGAGGAGGGTTGGCACTGCCCAAGCTGCTCCATCCTGCTGGCAAGGAGCCCCCCATCTGTGCTGAGCACCCCCAGCTGCATCGAACACCCCTGCCCTCGTGGGGCCTGGAGGGGTCCCCGGGCAGTGGGGAGGGGTCCCCAGCGCTCCCCAGGCCGCAGGGAGGGGTCCCCAAGGGGTCCCTGGGCAGTGGGGAGGGGTCCCCAGCAGTCCCCAGGTCACAGGGAGGGGTCCCCAAGGGGTCCCTGGGCAGTGGGGAGGGGTCCCCAGCGGTCCCCAGGCTGCAGGGAGGGGTCCCCAAGGGGTCCCTGGGCAGTGGGGAGGGGTCCCCAGCAGTCCCCAGGCCGCAGGGAGGGGTCCCCAAGGGGTCCCTGGGCAGTGGGGAGGGGTCCCCAAGGCAGTGGGGAGGGTCCCCCTGCATGGCCACACCGTGCTGAAGGCACTGGCAGGGGGAACACCGGGAGCCCCCCGGGGTGGGGCCCCACTGACACCCCCCCCCCCAGGGCCCCCCCCCCCGGGGCTGGCACACGGGCGGGGGGCTGCGGGTGCTACTTCTTCTTCTTGGGGCCGGGCCGCCCCTCCCCGTGGCCCTCGCCCCCCGCCCGGCCCCGCCCCTCTCCCCGCACCCCATTGCGCTCCCCCCGCTCCCCCCGGGCCTTGTGGCGGGCGGGGGGGGGGGCCCCCCCCGTGCCCGGGGGCCCAGGGCCCGCAGCACCCCCACGGTGGCGGCCACCAGGTAGAGGGTCCAGAGCACGGCGGGGCCCGAGAAGGGCCGGGCCAGGCCCCGAACCCAGCCCAGGAGCCACGGCAGGGCCGCCTCCGACCGGCGCCGCACGGGGGGCTTGTCCTGCCGGGAGACGGGGGGGTCAGGGCCAGGGAATGTGGGAAGGGGCCAGGCAAGGGGTCAGGGAGGGAGGTAGGGGGGTCAGGGGTGAGGGAGAGCGGTTGGGGGTGAGGGAAGGGGGTGGGAGGGGGTCAGGGGTGAGGGAAGGGGGGGTCAGGGGCCAAGAAGGGGGATCAAGGTTAGGGAAGGGTGTTGGGGGTGATGGAAGGAGGTCAAGGGGTGTCAGGGGCAAAGGAAGGGATGGGGAGGACAAAGGGAAAGAGAAGGGGAGTTGGAGTCAGGGAGAGAGAGAGAGATGAGGGATGGGTTGGGGGCCTGGGAAGGTGAGGAAAGGGGGCTCAGGGGCCATAGAGAAGGTCAGGAGCAAGGCAGGGGCATCAGGGGTGAGGAAAGGGGGCTCAGGGGCCAGGAAGGGGGGTCAGGGGTGAAGCAGGGGGGTCAGGGGCCAGGTGGGGGGATGAAGGAAGGGGGTCAGGGGCCAGGAAGGGAGCTCAGGGGTCAGGGAAGGGTGATCGGGGGTGTTGAAGGAAGGGAGTTCAGGGCCCAGGAATGGGGTTCAGGATCAAGGCAGGGGGATCAGGGGCATGGAAGGAAGGGGGTCAGGGCCCAGGGAGGGGGTGCAAGGCCCCCCACACCCACCTTGAGGCCGTGCTGGCTGAGCAGGCTCTCCAGCGTGGGGTCTCCCAAGGACACAGTGGGGAAGAACTCCTGGACGTGCTGCCGCCTCCACCACGGCGCCGGGCCCGGGCTGGGGAGGGGCAGCTCAGCTGAGCCCCCACATCCCACCCCCGGCGGGGGTTTGGGGTGCAGGGGGCCCCGTCCCCGCTCACCTGCCCTCCGAGGGGCCCGTGAACCAGTACTTGTAGAGCTGGGCCCGCAGGAAGGTGGGCGGGCGGGCGCTGAACGGGTACCGGGACTCGTCCACCTGCACCAGCCGGATCACTGCCGGACAACCGAAACACTGGCACCCAAAACTGCTGCAGGGGGACACCCCGAACCACCACAGGGACACCCCGAACCACCAAAAGAGAGACAACCCTGAACCTCCATGGGGATGCCCTGAAATGCTGCAGGGGACACTCTGAACTGCCATGGGGACGCCCTGAAATGCTGCAGGGGGACACCCTGAACTGCCATGGGGATATCCTGAAATGCTGCAGGGGACACTCTGAACTGCCATGGGGATATCCTGAGATTCTGCAAGGGGACACCCTGAACTGCCATGGGGACGCCCTGAAATGCTGCAAGGGACACTCTGAACTGCCATGGGGATATCCTGAAATGCTGCAGGGGGACACCCCAACACGCTGCAGGACACCCCGACTGCCACAGGGCCACTCCAAACTGCTGGGACACCCAAAACCACTGCAGGGACACCCCAAACTGCCACAGGGACACCCCAAACTGCTGGGACACCCAAAACCACTGTGGGAACACCCAAAACTGCCACAGGGACACCCCAAACTGCTGGGACACCCCAAACTGCTACAAGGACACCCAAAAACACTGCAGCAACACCTCAAACTGCTACAGGGACATCCCAAACTGCTGGGACACCCAAAAACACTGCAGCAACACCCCAAACTGCCTCAGGGACACCCCAACTGCCACAGGGACACCCCAAACTACTGCAGGGACACCTAAAACCACTGCAGGGACACCCCCAACTGCTGGGACACACAAAATCACTGTGGGGACACCCCAAACTGCCACAAGGACACCCAAAACTGCCACAGGGACACCCCAAACTACTGCAGGGACACCGCAAACTGCTGCAGGGACACCCAAAATGAACTGCAAGGACAACCCAAAATGCCACAGGGACACCCCAAACTGCTGCAGGGACACCCCAAAATGCCACAGGGACACCCCAAACTGCTGCTGCGGGGGGACATCCCAAACCACTGCAGGGACACACCCCGAAGTGCTGCAGGGCGACAACCCCAAAGCCCACTGTGGGGACACCCCGATCACCACGGGGATGCCCCAATCCATCCCCAGAGCCCCCCAAGCCCCCCGCCCTGTGCCCTCTGTGCCCCCCTTGCCCTCACCGTCACGCTGGCCCTGCAGCAGCCGCAGCACCAGGGCGCTGAACCAGGGGCTGCTGTGGTGGTGCCCCAGGGCAGCGAACCACAGCTGCCAGTCCAGGCGGGGCTGGTGCGGGGCCACCATGGCCGGGGCCACGCTCACATTCCCGGGCTTGTACATGAACTCGATCTCCTGTGGGATGGCAGCGGCTGGCACCGGGATCTGGAGCCCCCCTGCCCACCCCGAGGGTCACCAGTGCCCACCCCGGGGGCTCCAGAGGGGAACGAGCCTGTGGGAAGCTTCCAGGGGAAGGTGGCCCATGGCACGGGGGTGGAACTGGGTGGTCTGTAAGGTCCTTTCCCACCCAAACATCCCGGGATTCTGGGGCAGGGACACCTCACAGCCCCGGGCAGCATTCCAGGGGGAAATGGGGGAATGTGGGAAAGGGTGGCAGGAAAACCGCCCGGCGGGAAAAGGACCTGGGGGTGGCTCCAAAACCAGGAAACAAGTGACAGGACAAGAGGAAACAGCCTCAAACTGTGCCAGGGGAGGTTGAGGTTGGATATCGGGAACATTCCTTCCCAGAAGGGACTGTCAGACATGGGAAGGGGCTGCCCAGGGCAGTGGTGGGGTCACCATCCCTGGAGGGATTGAAAAGCCACGTGGATGTGGCACTTGGGGACACGGGTCAGCGGTGGCCTTGGCAGTGCTGGGGGACGGTTTGGTTCCCACCCCCTGTGCCCACCCCACACTCACCGTCCAGCTGTGCCCATCGTAGCTGCCCTCCAGCACCACCTCGGGCCGCCCCCCGACCCCCGTCATCCTGCGGAACAGCCCGTAGGAATTCACCACCTGGAACCGCTCCACCGCCCCGAACAGCCGGTGGATGCCAGGCCACAGCTTCCCGTTGGACTCGTGCTCAATGTAGGTGAAGGGCACCTGGCAGGGGCAGGAGGGGTCTGTCACCGTGGCCCGAGGGGGTCCCCTGGAGCCCCCCGACCCCCCTGACCCCTCACCAGGCTGACGGCGAACAAGCTGACGGTGGCCGTGGCCATGATGGCCCACTGGAGGGTGGCCCAGAGCTTCCAGAAGCATCCACGGACACAGGCACAGCTGGGGGGGAGAGATGGGGCATTAAGGGGACAAAGAGGCACCACCCCCCAGTTTGGGGGGGCTCCAGCTGTGAGCTGAGGGGTTCAGAGCCTCCCCCATGCTGTGCTTGACTGCTCCAACACTCCCAACTCCCGGAGCTGCATCACCCCCTTCCCAGTTCCCAGAGCCACCCCCCAGCTCCCCCAGCACCCAGGGGTCCCCCACACCCTGGGGGTCCCCTGTGCTCCCTGGCACCCACCGGTACATGGCGAGCAGGATCTCCCAGGACAGGGACAGGAAGGCCACCCCCACCAGCGGCAGCGTCACCGTCCGCAGCCACGTCGTGAACTCGTGGTAGGTGAAGGCTGGAGCCAAGGGAAAGCCGTGGCATCAGGGAGGGGCTTCTCCAGCCCCCCAGGGTGGGGGCTGAGGGGTCAGCAGCCCCCCCCTGGACGTACCCACTTTGGAGTCCAGCAGCTTCTTGTCCCAGTTGATCTCCAGGCCGAAGTACTGCACGGTCCAGTAGAGCAGGAGCCCGTAGGTGTTGAGCTCCAGCAGCGTGGCCAGCACAGAGCCCAGGCTGGGGGGCCAGGCTGGGAGGGTTGGGGGGCTCAGAGCTGGGCTGGGAACCCCCCCAACCCCCCTGAGCCCTCCCAGGGTCTCCCATGGCCGCAGCCCCCCACCCTGGGGGTGGGGAGGGGCTGTGCTGGCAGCAGTTCCCACAGTGGAGCCACAACGTCCCCTGTCCCCTCCCCACCCCAGAAACGACCTGCTCCCCCCAAACTGGGGGTCCTGGGGGGTCTCACCGCTGCCCTGCCGCTTCTTGGGGCGCCCCAGCCAGCGCCCCACGTGCTCCTCGTCCAGCAGGGAGAAGGCCAGGACGATGGTGAGCGCGTTGAAGAAGTTGTAGTTACCCGTGAGGATGATGAGCACCTGCAGCAGGACCTGGGGGGGAGCAGGGACAGGGTGGGGGGGGTCACAGGGCTGGGGGGGCACGGGGCTGGGGGGGTAAAGAACACAGGGCACCCCACCAGCACCACCAACCCATCTCCCAGTGACAGCAGAGCGAGGAGCCGACCCCCAGCCTCTGGGGAGACCCCCTGGGCACCCCCCAGCATGAGAGGGGGGTTGGGGGGGGGTCACAGGGGGTCATGGAGACAGAGGGCAGAGGACACTGGACATCCCTCCAGCAGCAGCATGGCCACCCTGGGTCCTGGTGCCCACAGAGCAAGGAGCCACCCCCCTGCCTGAGGGGAGTCCCCCTGGAGACACCCCCGCATGAGGAGGGGCTCAAGGGGGTCACAGGGCTGGGGGGCAGAGGACACTGGGCACCCCAACACCACCAGCAGCAGCATGGCCACCCCATGCCCCAGTGCCCACAGAGCGAGGAGCCACCCCCCAGCCCCTGAGGAGCCCCCCCAGGACCCCCCAGCACGAGGTGTGGTATAAGGGGGTCCTGGGGGTCACAGAGTTGAGGGGGTCATGGGGCCGGAGAGCAGAGGGCACCGGGCACCACCCCCTCCACCATCAGTGGCACAACCACTCCCTCTCCCAGCACCCCCACAGCCAGGAGCCCACCCCGAGCCCCGGTGAGCCCCTCTGTGCCCCCCCCGCCCCGGGGGTCCCTCCGTGCCCCCTCCCCACCTGGCAGTAGAAGGCGAAGAGGCGCAGGCGGCGCAGGGGCGCGAAGAAGAGCACGGGCACGGCCACCTCGATGACGTAGGTGGCCACCACGCTGAGCTTCTGGAACCACACGGGCAGCTGGTGGGCGAGCCAGGCCCCCGGCGTGGGGATGCACTGCGTCTCGTAGTGGTACGTCAGCGCTGGGGGCACGGGGGGCTCAGGGCAGGGGCGGCCCCCACGGAGCAGGGCCCAGCTCCCCAGAGCACAGGGCTGCCATCCCCTCGAGTGTGGGGGCATGGCTGTGCCCCCCCAGACCTGCAGCCCCTCACCTGTGAGCCCCCCAAACCCAGCCCCTCACCTGTGAGCACCCCACAAACCCACCCCACTGACCTGTGAGCCTCCCAAACCCACCCCTCTCACTTGTGAGCCCCCCTCACCTGTGAGCCCCCAAACCCACCCCACCTCACCTGAGCCCCCCAAACCCACCCCTCCCACTTGTGAGCCCCCCGGACCCCGAGGCGAACATGAGGCGGAAGAGGAGCCACCGCACCCCCCCAGAAGGTGACGGGGTCGTGGGGTCTCCAGGAGGGGGACCCCCCCCTCAGCAGGCGCAGGGGGGCCACGAGCACGGCCAGGAACCCCGTTTCCAGCAGCAGGCTGTCCCTGGGGGTGGGAGGACAGAGCTGAACCCCCCAGTGCCACACACCCCTCAGGGCCTGCCCTGCTCCCCTCGGGGGACACAGATCCCCCCACACATGGGGCTGGGGACCCCAGCTCGTTGTGCCCCCTATCCCACTGTGCCCCCTGGCCCTGGCCCCCAGGACCCCCATATCGCCCCCGATCCCAAGAGCCCCCCACACCCCCTGCCCTGGTCCCCAGAGCCCCTGTCCTGCCAAGCCCCCATCCCTGTCCCCAGAGCCCCCACCACCACTATGCCCCTTGCCCTGCTCCCCAAAGCCCCTGTCCTGCTCTGCCCCCCCACTGTGACCCCTTGTGCCCCCTGTCCAGCACCCAGAGCCCCCATCCTGCTGTGCCCCCCACCCTGGGGGCTGCAGGGGGTGCAGGACATCTCCCCCAGCTCCGAGCCCCCCACAGCCCCCCCAAAGGGCCCAAGGGGGGGGGTCTGACTCACCACTGGAAGTACAGGAAGACCTGTCCCACCTGTGGAGAGGGAGTGGGGGGTGAGTGGGGCAGGTTTGACCCCCAGACCCTTCCTCACATGGAGAGTGGTGGGCACAGACCCCCCCTCCCGTCCTCCCCCCAGCTCCTTTCCCAGCACGGGGCTCCAGGCCAATCCCAAGGAGCTGTGGGAACAGCAGCACTGGGATCACAGCCCGGGAATGCTCCGGGGGGGGGGAGGGGAAGGGGGGTGTCCCGGGGGGTCATTCCACACTGGGTGTGTTCCCTGCCCACAGCCCGGCCCGGGGGAGGAGCAGGGATGTGCTTCCAGGGATGTGCTTCCAGGGATGTGCTTCCAGCATTGCCCTAAAAGGGAGTGAGGAGGGAACGGGTGGGAACAGCCAGAGCCACACTGGGATACACAATTCCAAGGGGTGGGAGCTGCTCCCTGGGGTGACAGCCCCCACCCCGGGAGGTGACGATTCCCTGCCCCAGGGGGGGAATGACCAAACATGGGTGATTTATCCCTCTGTAATTCCCTGGTTCCAGAGGGAAGATAAACCCTCCTCCTCCCCCCACAGCAGCCAGCTCTGACTCACTGGAGCTCCCGGGGCGGCAGGAGGGAGGATTCATGGAATCATGGAATGGTTTGGGTGGTAAGAGACCTTAAATCCCATCCCATTCCAAACCCCTGCCATGGGCAGGGATATCTTTTACCAGATCAGGTAGCTCCAAGCCCTGTCCAACGTGGCCCGGAGCTGGAGAGGGACTTGGGACAAGGGATAGAGGGACAGGACACAGGGAATGGCTTCCCAGCGCCAGAGGGCAGAGATAGATGGGATATGGGGAAGGAATTGCTGGCTGGGAGGGTGGGGAAGGGCTGGAATGAATCTCCCAGAGAAGCTGTGGCTCCCTCTGGATCCCTGGGAGTGTCCAAGGCCAGGCTGGAGCAACCTGAGCCAGTGGAAGGTGTCCCTGCCCCTGGGGGCTGGATTGGGATGGGATTTAAAGTCCCTTCCCGCCCAAACCATTCCCTGATTCCCCGACTGTATCTCCCAACCCCTTCCCCAGCTCCACGAGGGAATCTGAGCACTCCAGGAGCTCACAGGACGGTGCCACCCCCCTCCAGGGACCCCCCCAGCCCCTCACCTGGTAGAGGGACAGGTAGAGCACCCGGAGCAGGGCGAAGACCAGGCAATCCCGCATGGAATCGCACAGCAGGGCTCCGAAGGACGCCAGGATCCCCACCAGGCACAGCAGCTCCATGCCCTGCTCCGTGTCCAGCCCCAGCCGCGGGCTGAGCCACAGCAGGGTGGGGGAATCCCGGAGCTGCTCCCACAGCCCCTTCCCGCTGAGCCGCAGCACCCTGCGGGCCGGCAGGATCCCCTCCCTGCCGTACAGGCCTGGAATGGGAACGGCAGTCAGGCATTCCCAGGAAAACGGGGGCAGCACGGCCGGGAGCCCCCCAGGCAGCACCTCGGCCTCATCCCTGCGGCAGCTCGTGCTGACTGGGGGGCTCCAGGCTGTCCCCATCCCAGCTTCCCAGTTGGAACTGGGAGCCAGTGGGAAGAGCCCAGGTGCAGCCCAGGAGCTGCCACATCCAGCCCGGCCACGTGGATGGGGTGTGGGCAGGGGGTTGGGGGGCCCAGGGGGGAGTTGGGGGGCTCAGAGGGGGCCCGAGCACCCCCTGGACCCCTGGGGAGGGTGGAGGGGACAGAGGAGCTGCTCCCAGTATTCCCGGTCTTCCCAGTAAGGGACAGATCAGGTTATGGGGAGGGAAACGGGATGGCAGGGGCGGCCCTGCGGCCCCGGGGGGGTCTGTCAGCCCCATCCCGGCTCTGTCCCGGCTCCACCGGCCCCGTTCCAGCTTTATCCCAACTCCACCAGTCCCACTCCCGACTCCACTGGTCACGTCCCGGCTCTACTGCTCCCACTCCCAGCTCCATCCCAGTTCTACTGGCCCCGTTCCAGCTCCATCCCGGCTGCATCCCAGTTCTACCTGCCCCATGCCAGCTCTATCCCGGTTCTACCGGACCCGTCCCGGCTCCATCCCGGTTCTACCAGACCCGTCCCAGCTCCGTCCTGGCTCTGTCATGAGCTCTGTCCTGGCTCTGTCCGCCCCCATCCCGGCTCCACCGGCCACGTCCCCGGCCCCATCCCGACCCCGTCCCGGCCGCCCCAGCCCCATCCCGGCCCTGCCCGGCCCTCCCCCGCGGCCCCCGGCTGTCCCTCGCCCCGCGGTACCGGGGATCTGCACGTAGAGGGAGCCGAAAGCGGCCACATAGACGGCGGCCAGCCCGGCCAGGAACAGCGCCCGCGGCCGCGCCGCCTCCGCCATGGCGGCCCCCCTGAGCCCCCCGCGGCGCGCGCCGATGACGTCACGGCGCGGCGCGCGCGGGAAACGCGAACATGGCGGCGGGGAGCGAGCGGTGAGGGGGG